AAATAAGAGAAGCAGAATAGAAAGTGAAGGACAGCGAGAGGAGAGTGGATAGAGTTGTTTGCATTACTCCTGGCGTCTTCTGACATGATGTTGTATAACAACTTTTTTAACTCATTTTCTGAATTCTGCCCAGGTTTTCTCTAAATGTTTTTATAGAGGATTTCTAAGCATTTGTATTATTTTGCTCAGGACTGAGAAGTGCATCAAAGGCTCATGAATTTTACACTCTTTTACACCCATTATTTACCAGTATACCCACTACCTGAGACAATAGATGAATAGATATGGCATCACCTCTTTGTAATATGCAGTGTCTTGCCCAAGGACACTTCGACACGTGGGCTGAAATTTTACAGCTGAAATATATGAAACATCTGAAACACTAAATAAGAAGTTATAGTCAGAATACATATACTGAAAATGATAAAATAGAAGTTCTGAATAAAGCTGAAGTGTCAATATGTTTAAATGAAAGCACTAAGAAGAGTTGAAATGTCAGTGCCGGTGTTTATGATGGACTGAGTTGAAAGTATCAATTAAAGTGGAAGACTTGAAACAAACTACTAACAGTTCAAGTGTGTAAACTAAAAGATGTTGTCAGTTGAAGTGGAGTTTTTTGCACAAATTTGTTTGACATGTTTTGAACTGAGCCAACTGAACACAAGGACCCAAAGTGACAAAAGACAAAGTCATAACTTCAGCCAGATCTGACATTCAGTGCCCTGCCATGCAAATGCTTTGCCAAGTGAATAAACCTCCATCTCAATAGAGACACCACCCCACATCTTCATATCAACAGCAATTTGTTTGAGCAATTCAACAAGATGCCCCAAGAACATTTAAACACGGGTCATTTCACCTCAGACGGCATTGATGCACAATTTTCAGCAACAACAAAAAGAAACTGCGAGGGAAAGTGAAGGGAAAAGAAGCTAGGGGAAATACTAGACAAAGAGCCCAGCGCAACAGACCCCAAACTCAAGTTCAACAAACTAGCTGCAGCCAATCCATTTCATCTATTCAGTCCACTTGGATTCAGTGTTTCTTTTATCCTCATACAATAATTAGTGTGGTATTCAACAAAAGGTAATATTTGTCTTCACAACAATATTATGACAGTATCAGATAACAGCGTAGAACAATTGTAGTGTGATAATTCCGGCTTAAACATCCACATGGACATGCATGCACACAGTCACACACTAGTATATGCACACTGACCCCACCTTACTGCTTTCCTTGGAGAGCCCAGTAGCTTTCTTTGCTTGGCAGGAGAGGAGAGTGGAGTAGCTACCAACCAGGCCACCCAGTAGTGAGCGAGACCTGCCAGCTACACCCCCGAGCACATGCCAGTAGAGCTGAGAAGGCTGATATTGGTATGTTGAATATTAATACTGTACTGTCAGGGACTAATGATTGTGAAACAGCATGCACTTTAATAAAGCAGCAACACATACAAATGCATCACTTTCTAAGTGAAATCTCTTCTCTAAATTACATTAACCATGATATCACTAAATATATAATATAAAAAGTGCTATTTATATGGACTCTACTTTTCAAATTTTGCCTTTCATTCACCTGTTCGCACACACACACACTCACACACTGATGGTAACCTAGCCAGCAGGACCAACTTGAGGTTCAGTGTCTTGCCCAAGGACACTTCAGCATGAGGACCAGAGGAGCTGGGGATTGGACTGCCAAGCCTGGGATTAGTGGACAATGCGCTCTACCTCCTGTGTCACACCCCCCACACACCCCAACTTTCACTCTCAAAGTGCAGCTGAGGCTGATGGGACTTGATGTGACATAACAGGAGACAAAGAAGACTGCAGCTTTGTTCTTTTAAATTTTTTTACTGTCAGTCATTTTTTTACATTTACTACATTTTTTCTAAGTTTGACCAAATATGCTTTTGCATAGCTGGAGGAGCACAGCTCTAGGGATAGAAATACTGGTCTGGTCCACTGTCTAAACAAATATAAAATGTTTTAAGAGTTTGCTAGGTGTAAAAATACTGACTAAAGAGTCAGTATTGATAATTGTCATTTTCACTCACACAGTCAGTGGCTTGCTAAGCACCAGGGCAACAATTTCATTCAGGCCATTCATCCTGCAGATTTCTCATGGGAGACTGAAAATATTAAAACTGATAGTTATGCATTTAGCTATTCTTAGTTCTAGTTTAATACTCACCTACCAGATAGCTTTTTTATGCATGAACTATTACTACAATGAACAACAGTGCAATGGCAGCGGACCATGAGTAATGAAGACAAACTGGTGATATCATACAAACAATGGCTGCTGGTGATATTTCTCTCTCTCTCTCTTTCTCTCTCCTCTTCAGCTCATCCTTACCTCAAGATGAAATGTTGATCTGTCTGGGAAATATGACACCCCTACATCTTCTTCTGAATTTGTCATTTCATTTAACACCACCTGACACCTCACTATCGACACAGCAAGTGGGGGAATGGGGATATTATACGAGTGAGGTTCAGAAGTGGAATGGTAATCACAGACCTGTCCATCTGCTGTCATCAGAAAACTGAATGTGCACGAGAGACTGAAACAGAGCATGCGAGCCAACATGTTTGTGTGTGAGGTGTTCCCAGGGCTTGCATCTTATTCCAGGGGGGACAAATTTGAATCCTAGAGCTTTGTCACTAAGAGCTTGGAGAACAAAAAA